TCATTTTGAAGGGAATCTCATCTAGTTTTTTTGTACAGCAATTTTCTTTGCCTATTTCTACCAAAAAAAAAAGTAAAAGAAGACTTGCGAGAACGAACTTTTGTCGCTGTCCATCAAATAAGGATAAATCCGGGTATTTTCCGGCGAGTGTGCGAAAATTGGATTCGAAGGTGTCGTGCGTGCATTGAAAATGGTGGTGGACATTTTCAGCATACGCTGTACTTTGTTTTGTACGTGTGCATTTAAAATTACTGAATTTTGCTTTTTGGTAAGTATCTAAATTATTTTTAATACGTATGATTATTTGGACAACGTGAATCTTTGGGTACTTTAAATACATATTTTTCAATTCATAATTTGATTAAAAGTTATTTTTAGTTTTATTTATTTAAAAACTGGAAAACAATTGTTGTGAAATTTACTAAATGTTTCACAGTAATAGTTGTTTACATTTTTGTTATTCCGTAGGACAAGTCTGCCGCGTGTATACATGGTGTGCATCAGTTGTGTAACATTAGGTTAAGCGCTGTTGTCAGGTTGTGATGAAACTCCCTAATATTAACACTCGCTGTATTTTGAAAACTGTTAATCTTATGCTTCTGTAATATCAAGTCAAACTTCTTACACCTTGTATATCTTATCCATGTGATCGTTATAGTTATCCTTTTGTATTCAAATGTGTAAAAAAACTGCATTTCTATACTGTGTAAACAAATTAATCCTGTGATATATCCGGTAAGAAAAAATCTAAATATATTCAAATAATGATAAAAAAATGTAAACATATAAAATGTAAATGTAAACAATTATATGTAAAAAATATGTAAACAAATATTATATCCATTGCAATTACATTTCGGAATGCCACTATCAACATCCACCATCGCAGACCCGAGTTAAGCCATTTAACGACATAATTGTTTAATTTCGTTTTTAATATCTCATGAAAAAGGAAATGCTGATAGCCGCTATATTAAACGGGATGTAAGAATGCCGCTTTATTGTTGGCGACGCCGTTCTGCGAAACCAACTGTTTTAGACTTTTTTAGATTCGACTTAAACTGATTTAATGTTGAATTATTGGGGTAATTTCATTTAATCCAGAGAGGTTTTTGCAACGCCGCATTCTGCCGTACCAAAATAAATACACGGGTAATTTTTCAGTATGGGCATTGTTGGTTGAAAAGCATACCACGAATTGCTGACGGACGACAAAAATGGACGGACAGGCACAGTTACATACTTATAAAGTTATAAAGGGTTATTTATGAAGGAAATTAAGGACGTATTTACAATGCCAATGGCAGTTCTGTTGATCTTAGAATTTAAAGGATAGCAGTATTACTTTTATGCCTTTTTCTAAGTTATCTAAATATACAGAGTGTTTGGTAAGTCGATGCATTCCTTGCAGGAGGCTATAGTACAAGTGATTTGTGATATATTTCCTTAATATACTATATTCCGAAAACGCTTAGTTTCCGATCTACAGGGTGTTAAAATTTAATAAAAAATGCAGATTTATAAACATTGCGGAAACCGCTCAAAATATTTTGATGAAATTTTACAGGCTTTGATAGTTAACAACAATACATGTTTTACGATAAAAATATTGTTTTCAGTTTCACCAGNAGTTGAAAATTGTGCTTATTGTAGATTATGTTTGTGCAATTTGAAACAACATGCTTGAATATTTTCCAGAAGAAACTCTTGGTTACTATCAAAGATGGGTAATAATCCAGTTTTAAAAAGTTGCATAAAATTTCATTCATTTACGCGATGGCAAAAAACAAAAATTAACTGATTCTATATGTTGAAAAAAAATGTAATTTGTGATAGACATGATTGCTTTTCACCACACCATTACACATTATTCTTTAAGCAAAAAGATTGCAATCAGCTTTTTCGAAAATCATCTAATAAAAGTATGAGTACTTTATTGGTGACATTGTATAAAAATATATATCTATGTATCTTCACTGAATTATGTTTCATATTGATAAAAGTTGTATTTAAGCTTTTTTGTTAAAAATTAAGGTATAACAACCATGATATATGTCAATAAAATGAATATCGGTTTCAAAACACCTAATTTCAGTTTTGACAGTGAATTTGTCTTAAAAAATTAATAAAATTAAATATTACGATTTTTCATATGAAGTTGAAATTTTAAACGTAATGACAAATATGTCTGCTACAAAATATTTTTGGGATATTAACTTAATCGAAACAAATTAAATCACCTGGTTCACTAAGGGCGAAACAACCTAATGTTCCGCTGGTAAAAGGCTTTAGAAATGTTTCCTTTTGTTCCTCTGTACCACATCTGTCAAGTAAATTAACATATAAACAATTATGTACAGACATAATAGTTCCAGTACCACCACATGCTCTAGCTATTTCTTCTACAGCAACTGCTAACGCCAAGGAATCTTGTTCTGAACCTCCATATTTTTCAGACACATTAATAGCAAGAAGACCCAATTCACCCATTTTTTGAATCTCAAATTGAAAAAAATTTATATACAAATATAAAAAATTTAAAAATGTCAAACCTGATCTGCTGGAAACTTGTGCTCTCTGTCTAACTGGGCTGCAATTGGTTTCAATTCTGCTTCTGCAAAATCTCTGCATGTTTTCTGTAGCATTAAATGTTCTTCAGAAAGTTTGTGTAAACTGAAAGGCCTTGAGATATTATTTGATAAACCTGAAATAAAAAATAATATTAATTTAAGTAATTTAATATAAAACAAGTACAATTATTATATATAGTACAGGGTAAGAAATGATTCTAACATACTTGGAAAGATAGACATATTTTTGTTTTATTTTTCTATGGCACCTCCATAACTTTGTAAGTCATTTTCTATTAATCTAAAAAAATAGCTATACTCCGCGGTCGAAATTATAGAGAGTGACTCAGACATAATATAAAAACACTATTACCATAATGCGTATAAAATATAAAATGAGTTTTATACAGTTCAATATTATTTATCTTTGTGCCGCTCGCTACGCACATCGATAGAATCTATAATCGTCTATAGACTGAGTTACACTGAACGTCGATTATATTCTATCTCTGTCTTTTGCACTTGTTAGGGAATAGGGAAATGCTTTTTTGTGGGTGTAAACGGACTTGATTTATCCGTCCTGAGAAACGTCATAGCATAAGCGTCGACGAGGGGTCTAATTCAGTAGCTATAATAAATTTATAAATTTAAAAAACACAACTGGGACGTTTTAAAATGCTGTAATAATTAAAATGGTTCAAAGTGCCGGTTATAGCAAACCGTAAAAAAATATTAGATGTTATGTTTTATTATCTTTTTCAATATTTTCTATATTTTGTTGCCTTTTACGTAACACGCCAATGGATTTTTCGTTCCCGGCACGCTTCATCCCCCTTACTAGTCCAGAAGCTAGCGATGACTCACTCTCTATCATTTCTACCGCGGAG